ATTTTAATTTGTTGCAGACAATAAAAATGGGTATCAAACTTGGTTAAATTTGTACTAAGGTAACTGAACTCAATATGGTCTAGTACCCAATATTGCCTATTGGCTTTTTCTCGTACGTTTCAAACAAAATGTGGTAGATCGCCACTGGGATACATTCTGAAACGTTTTTATACCATTTAGGAGTAATCAGTAACAGGCGCGGATCCAGGGAGAGGGTACTTTATTATGACCAATTTCAAAATTTTGAAATCGCATTTCATTTTGTAAATACAGTACAATCTCTATAATCCGAATTCACAGAGGCTATTTGAAGTCGATGCTTCTTTACTCCGAATAAAAACTTTGCAATCCGAACTGAACTTGGAAACACGCACCTACTTGCAAAAATGAGGCAAGATCTTTTTGCATATGTTGTACGGAATATTTTGAAATTTTTAAAAATTGTGATATTTCAATGCACTGAATTAATTAACTAATTCTGGAAAAAAAGTTGAAGTTATCGAAGAAATGAGGTCCGAAATTTAGAAGAAAAAGTATTTTTAAATTTCGAAAATCATCAAAAATTGGTAGAAATTTGCATGAGAAAAATTTCATTTTTGAAAAAGTTTCATAAAAATCCTGACAAAATTTTAAGGGATATATATGTATATCCCGATGTGCTGATTCCAACAATATAGCATGCTAATGGTAACCGAGCAATATTTTCGGAAAATTCGATGTGAAATTCGAATTTTTCGAAATTTTTAAAAATTTCGATATTTCAACGGTCGATTCCGGAAAAATGGTTGCAGTTATCAAAGAAACGATGCCGGAAGTGAGTTCTATAGCTCGAAATCTACAAGAAAATATTGTAAAAGATATGAGAATATGCTCCATATGTAAGAAATATGTGCACGAGGAGTGTGTGGATTTTACTAAAAATGATAAAGATATTTGCATTTCTCCTTATTGTGAAAATTAACAGTTTGTTTGTCCATAAACTTTTTTCCGTGCTTACTTTTGTTTTTTTTTCGATTTCTTAAAAATGTCTGAAATTTGAAAATTATGTACAAAAATGTAACCTCTTTCAACTCCCACCATTACTCTTCCATTTCAAGTTCTTACAAAAATTAAAAAAATTCTCAAAGTTTAGGTAGGCCATATAGGGTACAGTGACCTTATTCGGTTTAAGAATTTAATTTACGTAGATACCTAAATTTATTTTTCCATCAGGAAATTTACAAAGTGGGGTCCTGTCGTATTCTACACAGATGTTGTTTGGGTATTATTATTACTACTATTATTTTCAATTTTGCTAGCGACATTGGCGTTTTGGAAAAATTATGTTGTTTTCGGAATTTTGATGCCGCTACCAAAGAAAAACAAACCTAGTAAAAAAATTGTGGAAGGTTATTTTGACAAAGTTTGCCTCGCTTTTGAATTACAGTCCGATAAATTCCGCTTCTTTAAAAAATCATAAAATTAGATTCTGCGATTTTCGTTTTGTGATAACTGTTAACCTCTATAAAGTGGCGTAATTGACATCCCCGCAACCCCTACGTCTTTAAAAATGAAATATAACCTAACGGGAAAAAATGTAGACAATTTCAATTTCTCAGTGTATGCTTAACTTCGACTGTTTATGTTTATTGTTTATACTTCGACCGAATTCGATTACTAGACAAACATCAGCTATTAAAAGAAAATTAAATTTGGTTGATTTTGTGTTCTCAACACAGAGGAAATGACTGATACTCAGTTTTTTCCCAAAAACACTCATTTCAAAGTTACATTGTAAAATATTGTTGTAAAATATGTATTTTTTCCAAAAATCTGGATGCTAAGGGTAAAAACTCAACACAGATTCACAAATCACACATGCAGGAATATATTATTTTATATAATTTAAAGAATATTTGTTCGGCAATTTTCAAGTTAAATTGTAAAATACAATTTTGAATTATTTCCCAAAAATATAAAATCTCGATGTCTAGGATAAAAACTCAACACGGATTCTAAATTACACGTACATGGAGTACGTACTTCTACAAAATTTAAGAAACATTTGTTCTACAAGATTAAAAATGACGTCATCATTTTTTAGGAGGCCATGAACGAAAAAATTTGATTAACGATTTACCATGCTTAGGACAATCTTAAAAAAACCTGTAAGTTTTTAAAGCAATCGGGTTTACAATGTTAAAGTTAAATTGTAAAATGTTACACAGTTTTGATTTTTTCCTCAAGAATCTGGATGTCTAGTAGTCAGTAAGATGATACGTTTCACCCCACATTTTGTTTCTTTAATTTATTTTAAGGTGTTTTATCATTTTTAACAAGCCAATTTTGACGTTGAAGTGTTTTTTTTTTTTCATAAAAATCTCAAAGTCAACCGTTTGTGCATGGATGATCAAAATCTTTAGAAATCCACAACTTTTTAAAAAATAATCTTAAAAATTGGGTGAAATATTAAAAAAACTTCACGACAAAAATTGACTTTTTTGTGTTATAAAACAGCAATAAAAAACGCCAACGTCAAAACTGCTCTGTTTGCTTAAAAACATGATAAAGTACTTTAAAATAGATGAAAAAACACATAAAGGGCTTAAATAGATGAAAAAAAATGTAGGGTGAAACGTACCATTTTACTTTCTATTGATTTTAGTTTAGAAATTTCATCTAGATAAAACGTCCGATAATCCAATCCTTAAACCCGAGTCATTCAGATGAGAATTGGATTTGAAATAATAAACAATGCTTTTGGAACCACCAAACATTATAATAGGTAAATATAAATAAAATTGTGCAGGAGTATCTTATTTTATAACATTTAAATCATATTCACTGCTGTAAATTTTGGAGATGACGTCAACAGATTGGTTGGTAGGGATGATTAACCAAATTTTAATCATCTACAAGATATTCGTAATACACATATAAAATTTGACAACTGGTTCAGTAGTTTCGGAGATTATCTGTCTAATAAAAATTCGGACATACGACAGACAGACAGACAGACAGACGGAAACGGGCGACCTATTGTTTAGTACACAGAAAAAAGTTTACTTGTAAATTTACTGTGAAAATCACAGGTAATTTGTAACCCGAGATAATAAGGGTAATATTCCAACGAAATGTATTTTTAAGTTTGAATGTGATATTTACTTTTTGAATGTAAATCGAAATTAGAAAAGAACATGTAAAATTACAAGTAAAATGTAATTTTGACGATTGTAAATTTACAATAAAATATGTAAATTTCCGTGAATGGGTATGTAAATTTCCGTGAATTGGTATGTAAATTTCCGTGAATTGATATGTAAATTTACACAAATTATTGTTATTTTTAGTACTAGTTTTAATCAAAGAAACCATGTCGGACAAAGTGAACCTTTTATTTTATGGTGAAAAACATAATAAACATGTAATAAAATCATAAACACAAAACAAAGTCATTGATGTTGTATATACTTTACATTCATTTAATTTGTTCATAAGGCCAATTACTTTGCGTTTTGTTGGTGTTATTCTTTTTGATTTGGATCCTTGATCTGGATGTATTTTCAAAAAAAATCTTTGCATCATTTCCAAAACTGCTGATACTTCGTCTGGATATTCTAAATTCATTATAAAATATAATCCAAACGCCCAAGATACTGCATCTTTTAAAGTGACAACACTTGGAATCACTACTTGTCGTTCTACTACGTAATAAATTGTTTGTGGATCGCTCTCTAGAAAAATACAAAAATACATTAAAATGTTATAGGTACAAAGACGTTTTAAATACTTGCCTATTTCAATTGCACATGGCGCAGCCACCTTGATAATTTCATTTAAATTATTCATATCATCACCCTGTGATAAAAATTGCATTAACATAACAATTAAAGATGACATGGGCAAATTATAGTAAGTAATTATCCGCCTGGAAAGTATACGTTTGTAACTGGAGGAAAATAGTAAACCAGAATAGTAAAGTACTTACCTTTAACAACAAAATACACTATTTTGTACAAAATATATTACCACAACTAATGCACTCCAACTTGTTATAACCTGCAAGCGTTATAGTAATGATTGCGTGCGCATCAACAATTCACAGTATGCATGTGATTTCACCGGTAGACTGGATTATTTTACAAAGTTGGAAGTAATTGTAAAAAATGTTAGTATATTTACGGTATTATAAAGTATAATTCATTTATAAAGTGAATATACATTTACAACTGCGATTCTGTATTGTGTTTTTTCAATTTGACTTGTGAAAATACAAATAGTGACACAAGTTTACTTATTTTATGCACAATGCTGCTAACTTACGTAAATTTACTAAATTTAAGTAAAAAAATACATAAAAAGCAACAGTAAAATAATTGTAAATTTACACGACTTTTTTCTGTGTACTGAGTTTACCCTTTGAAAGTAAAAAGATGCTCTTATTTAATATTTACATATATCGTTTTTTATGTGTCTGTTATATTTTTAGGAATATTTATTGCATTTGTAATTGTAACATCATGCATATGAAAAAAATGTAAATAATTGTATCAAAAAAAAGTAGACTGTTTCGGGGCCAATCGGGAAATTTCCCGGTGTCCCGTCGGCACAATCCGACACTGTCATATTATAATATATAGGTTGTACAACACATGACATGTGACGTCACTGAATATTATTATCGTGCATAACAACCACATAAAAATTGTTATTTATTTACATTCACTCGACTCCGTTAAAAAGGCCGCAAATCGCCGTACGATTCCCATCCGCCCTTGATCCCCCCGCCGCCCCTTCCACCATATGTCGCTCCGAAGAAATTCCCAAAATGCGCGAAAGCCCCAGTTCCTGTAATCCATCGCCCGTCCCCCGCACTGTCCTTATTTACCGTCGTCCCCTATGCCCAACAGCTGTGATCTAAAAACCCACCCCTCGAAGGGAGGGGTCGATTTATGTTACTGGTCTCGTGCCATGTGCGAAACAACGTTGGGAATTTTTCGTAGTTGCGTTCGATCTTTAGAAATACGCGCACGCGACACGCCAATTACTCCACATCCGGTCCATCGCGCCGTCATCCACTTAAGAAGTGAACTCTGACACAGTCGGTCGCAGCAAAATGGCGGGCGTCGTGGTCTCTCCTCACAAGATCGGCGTCCTGCAGCAAACCAACCAGAACGAAAGGCGCGAAATCATCATCCTGCGGAAGCCGATCCTGCCCAAGGACGACGCCGGCAGGAAGAAGCAGAAGAAGGACACCAAGACGGCGCCGCAGCCGATCGCGGTGGCGAGGAGGAACGCGAGGGAGCGGAACAGGGTGAAGCAAGTGAACAACGGCTTCGCGAATCTGCGACAGCACATACCGAACTTCATCGCCGCCGCCTTCGAGTCGAACAGCAGGGGCGGCAACAAGAAGCTGAGTAAAGTGGAGACGCTGCGCATGGCGGTGGAGTACATCAGGAGTCTGGAGGACATCCTGGCGCTGGACGAGACCAGCGAGAGCGGCGGGAACGTCTCCAACTCGTCGGTGTCTTCGTTCTCGTCGCCGTCGCCGTCCACGGTGACGTACCACGACGACGACCTTTCGACCGACCCGACGCCGCCCCCGCACTACACGTACCAGATCATCCCCGGCCACCTCTACGACGACAGCGAGAACCTGGAGCCGCTGAATGTAGACGATCACATTTTGTCGGATCCGAGTTTGATGGACGCGGGGTTGGAGTTCAAGGGTGTGCAGGACTTGTCGCTGTTGAATAGTATGCACGCTAGTGACTCGTTGTCCCCGGGGATGTACAGTGAGCAGAGTTTGTCACCTGGGGGTAGTGATCAGAGGGGTTACGGCGCGGTTTTTGGGGGTGACAGTATTAAGAGTGAGGATGTTCCGGTGATTTCGTTGAAGAACGAGAACGAGTTGCCGCAGGAGCACAAGAGTGATGTTATGGATGTTATGCAGTGGTGGGAACAGCAGCAGTCGCCGCATACCACGATTAGCTAGTGGATTAGGTAAGAAATTGGTTGGGGAAAAAAGGAAAAAGTGAAGAGAGTTCATTGATGGGATAATGACATGGCAGGTTTATGAAGTTGATAACGTAATAGAGCAGGCGTTTACTGTTACGGTTGGGTTAAGTATGCGGGCATGTATGGGGTGGTGCGTTTAATTCTAACAGAGACGGCTTAAGAATTGTTGTACAAACGATTACATGAAATCAGGGAGATGTGACGTCTAAATGACCGCTCTGTAATAAACACAATTGTTTTATTTTGATCGTAGGGGTTCTCGGAAACGTTTCCACTCGTAAAATAAACAGCTTTTGTAATTGTAAACAACTGCTTATAAATGTTACTGTTTATAATATCCCAAGATTTTCAACTTTATGTTATTATTATCCTAAAATAAACTAAAATCATGTCAAATTACAAATCTACAAACTATTAAAAACTTTCTCGTTCAAATCTCGTAGTGAAATTAAAAGAATTAAAAGAAATTTTCAAAATGCTGACTTTAAAATTTTGAAAATATCAAACTAATGCAACCTTAAAATCATTGTAAACGACCTTAAGTCAGTTTTCACTTACTTATAACGTAAATCCACCTTCACCCCCATTACTTTTTAACCACTCAATTGAAAATTGAAATGTTGAAAAATCGAGAAATCATAAAACCAAAAAATTGAAAAGTTTTAAAAATGAAAAAACCGAAATCGAACCAAGAAGATATTAGGAGTTTATATTAAAAATTTAAAAATACGAAAAAATGAAAAATAGAAATGTCGAAAATCTGAAAAATCGAAAAATCCAGAAATTGAGAAAACGAGAAAATTAAAATTTAACAATTTGAGAAATTAAAATATCGAAAACCTGAAGAATCAAAAAACTGAAAAATCGAGAAATTGAAGAAGTCCAAAATTGAAATCGAAAAATTGAAAAACTGAAATAGCAAGAAACGAAACATCGAAAGATCAAAAAATTGAGAAATTAAATACCAATGAAAAATGGAAAAATCGAAATCTAAAAGCTAGAAGTCGAAAAATGAAAGATCGGGAAATCCAATCACAAAACAGAAAGAACTGAAAAATCAAAAAAGCTAAAAATCGAAAAATTGAAAAATGAATAAACTGAAAAATTAAAAATCTAAAAATACCAAAAATTGAAGAATATAAGTGTCGAAGATCTGAAAAATCGAAAAATCGACAAATTGAGAAAACCGAAAAATTAAAATTTAACAAAATGAGAATTTAAAATATCGAAAAATTGAAGAATCGAAAAACCGAAACATCAAAAAATCGAAATATTGAAAAGTCAAAAAACAGAAAAGTCCAAAAATCGAAAATCGAGTAATCCAAAAAATCCAACATTTAGAAACTTGAAAAATCAAAAAATTTAAGAATCTAAAAACTGAAAAATCGAGAAACGCAAAAAGTCCAAAACTGAAATCGAAAAATTGACAGATCGAAAAATTGTTAAAACTAAAACAGGGAGAAACGAAACATCAAAGATCGGAAAGTCGAAAAATCAAAAAATTGAGAACTCGAAATGGCCCGAAATCGAAAAATCGAGAAGATAAAAACCAAAAAAATTGAAAAATTGAAAAATCGAAATCTAAGACGGAGAAGTCCGAAAACGAAATATCGAGAAATACAATCACAAAACAGAAAAATATAAAATATAAAATTTAAAAACTCGAAACAATAAAACAGAAATATCGAAGAATTGAAAAATCAAGAAATCTAAAAATCAAAAATTTGAATTGAAAATTTAAAATATCGAAGCATTGAAGAATCGAAGAATTGAAAAATCCAGAAATGGAAACATCAAAAAATTGAAAAATTTAAGAATCAAAAAACTGAAAAATCGAGAAATTGAAAAAGTCCAAAATTGAAATCGAAAAATTGAAAATCTGAAACAGCGAGAAACGAAACATCGAAAGATCAAAAAATCGAGAAGTTAAAACACCAATGAGAAATGGAAAAATCGAAATCGAAATCTAAAAGCTAGAAGTCGAAAAACGAAAGATCTAGAAATCCATTGACAAAACAGAAAAATATAAAATTTAAAAATTCGAAAAAATGAAACAGAAATCTGGAAGACCTGAAAAATTAAGAAAGCTAAAAATCGGAAAACTGAAAAATGAATAAACTGAAAAATTAAAAATTTGAAAACACGAAAAATTGAAAAATAGAAACGTCGAAGATCTGAAAAATCGAAAAATCGAAAAATTGAGAAAACCGAAAAATTAAAATTTAACAAAATAATAATTTAAAATATCGAAATATCGAAAAATCGAAAAACCGAAACATCAAAAAATCGAAATATTGAAAAACAAAATGCCGAAAAGTCCAAAAATTGAAAATCGAGCAATCCAAAAATCCAACATTTAAAAAATTGAAAAATCGAAAAATTTAAGAATCTAAAAACTGAAAAATCGAAAAATTGAAAAAGTCCAAAACTGAAATCGAAAAATTGACATATCGAAAAATTGAAAAACTAAAACAGGAAGAAACGGAACATCAAAAGATCGGAAAGTCGAAAAATAAAAAAACTGAGAACTCGAAATGGCCCGAAATCGAAAAATCGAGAAGATAAAAACCAAAAAAATTGAAAAATCGAAAAATCGAAATCGAAATCTAAAATCGGGAAATTCAAAAACTAAGATCCAGCAATCGAAGCGAAAAACAGAAAAATTTAAAATATAAAAATTCAGAAAAATGACATCAAAGAACTGAAAAATCAAGAACTCTAAACATCGAAAATTGTAGTAACTGAAAATTTAAAATGTCAAAGAATTGAGGAATTGAAAAATTGAAAAATTGAAAAAGTTGAAAAATCGAAACTTTCATAATGGAAAAACTGAAAAATCAAAAACCTGAAAACCGATAGACTGAAAAATCGAAATGTTGACGAATTGAAAAACGGAAATATCGGAAAATGGAGAAATTGAGTAGTCGAAAATCCAAAAAATCGATTAATCGAGAAATTGAGAAATCGAAAAATTGAAAAATCCAAAAATCGGAAAATTGAAGAATCGAAATATTGAAAAATTCCAACACTGAAATATCGAAAAACCGAATAATCCATAAACTGAAAATTGACAAACTGAAAAATTGAAAATCGAGAAGTTGAAAAACTTAAACTGGAGAAGTGGACAAATCAAAAATTAACAAATTGAAAATATGAAAAATCGAGAAGTCGAAAAGTCGAAAAACAAAAAACCAATTAATCGAAAAAATGAGAAATCGAAAAATCGAAATGTGGAAAAATCGAAACTTTAAAAATTGAAAAATTGAAAAATCAAAAACCTGAAAACCGATAGATTGAAAAATCGAAATATTGACGAATTGAAAAACGGAAATATCGAAAAATCAAGAAATCGAGGAGTCGAAAATCGAAAAGTCGAAAAATCAAAAAACCGATTAATCGAGAAATTGAGAAATCGAAAAACTGAAAAACCGAAAACTCAGAAAAATTGAACTAAAAAATTGAAAAACTGAGAAATTGGGAAGTCTAGAAATCGAAAAGTCGAAAAACAAAAAACCAATGAATCGAGAAATTGAGAAATCGAAAAATCGAAAAGTGGGAAGATGGAAACATTGAAGGATCGAAATAATGAAAAATCCCAACATTGAAATAGGCATCGAAAAATTGAAAATCAAGAAATTGAAAACTTGAAAACCGAGGAACTGAAATCTTGAAACTCGAGACGTTGAAAACTCGGAAAATTGTGAAATTGAAAAATTGTTATACGTCTACAATTTTGACTTTTTCCAGAAAATCTCGACGTCTGGGATCAAAATTCAACACGGAATCATAAACCACAAGTTCAGGACTATATTACTATTTAACATTTAAATGACAAAGATGACATCATCAATTCTCGGTGGAGGGAGCATGAATGGATACATTTTCATTAACGATTTACCGTGTTTCCGACAACCTTAGAATATTTACAAGATTTTAAACCCTTCAATTTTGTAATTTCAAAGTTAAATTACAAAAAGTTGTTATAAAATTTTGATTCCGATGCCTAAAGTAAAAATTCAACACGGATTCATAGACCATAAATAGTAAATTTATTGAAATTTTACAAAATTTGACTACAATCGCACCAGTAGTTTCGAATATTATCTGACAGATCCAAACAAACAGAAGATCTATTTTTTCGTACTCAGGAGTCATTAAAAACCGAGAAAACATTGAAGTCGTCAGTAGCCCGATGGACTCGATACAATACATCCTCAACTTTCAAATAAATGCAGAAGCTATTATATATGTACACAATACCGCAACAAGTTTATTTTTTATTCAAGAGAACAGAGACCATAGTGTTCCAAAGTACATAATCGATTAATAAATATGTTTTCAAAACCCAAATTCCGGAGCCCTTATTGTATGCGACAGATTCATGACGCGATCCATCATTTTAGAAGACATTGTTGTGACAAAATGGCATCTGAGACAAACTGGTTACTTTCCAAAAGCGTCGTGGGACTAATATAACCACCACTTGGACAATATCTAGTTTGAACTAAATAAATGTTTCCCTCAGAGTCCTACTTTGGGACCTCTCTTGCACTGTGATCTACATATAACAACGACAATTGTGCTTACGTCACTTTCGCATACCATTTTACGCAACGTAGTCTAAACATATGTTTCCTTCAAGGATCTACGTAGCTACCGCTTTTGTATATATTGTAGTCCGAGGAAACCAAAACTGAGTAGTACAAAGCGGACTAGCACAAGTGCCTATTACGAAGTAGCTATTCTTCCGGCCTGCACGTCCTCCGAAAGAGACCTTCCCGCAAGGCGCAACATTCGTACCTCTTTTGCTCCGTGTATCAGCGCGATGATTTTCGTGTAAACCGAATCCCATCGCTCTAACTAGCCCCCTTCCCTCCCCCCGAGCGTGCCCGGCCCCCAATAAATCAGCGATCGCATCGAAGGGCGCCGGATTTATTACCTACAAGACCCCCTCATGGGAACGTTCGCGGTCCTGTGTGGGAAGTCGAACCTTCTGGTAAAAATGCAAAACGCGCAAAAAACCGTCGAGCAACGGTCGGCCAACGGAAAAGGGCGCGTGTCTCGAAAAAACACGTTCCCATTCTTCTTCCGGACTTGGCTTACCATTCATGCCCGCGTCTTCAAACATCTCAAGTCCGTCTGGGTTATGAAAGGACTCGTTGGCTACGACTCAAAGGTCGCAGACTCGGGCTCAATGTCGCCGGATTGTATAGGCGCGATGTCTTCGGGTGCAGAACCGGAGCGAGATTTTGAGAATAATGACGGCAGGTAATTTTTTGCGCGGGGAAACGGTCGCACGGGACGGAGAGAGGGACGGGAGCTCGAGCGGTTCTGGCGAAGGAAAAAATAAAACGACTTCAAGTGGGGCATCGACGTCGGATGCTTGATTCGACGTAGGGGGCGATGTTTCGGCAGTCCGGGCCTGCTCGAGGTGGAAGCCACTCGGCGTTAAATAGGTGGGTACCCATTAGCTGGTACTTCCGCGGAGGAAGGCGGCCACATGTGCCACCATAAAACCACCATCTGGCACACTTCTTCCCTCTTACCACTTGTTCGTCTGCGACACTTCGCGGCCACCTTTGACTCAAAATATTGTGACTGGTTAATTTTTAAATCCTGATGTATCGGCACTCCTACGATTCGATGAATGGGAGATTAATGGGATTAGTCGCGGCCGGTCGATCTCGAAATTTTACTTTTTGTCGGGATTGAATCGTCGACGACGGAGATGGGCCTTATTTATGGCGAGATGGTAGTGAGTGAAATATTACCAGACACATGTACCCACGGAGGGTCTTAACGGGGAACAGATTACGTAATGTGGAAATTATGCTAATACGGGCCTTTGAAAGGGTGGAGAGGACGGAGCTTGTATCTGTGAAATTTCTTTTGTTAATTCTGGGTTCTTAAGTCTGGAGGGTATTGTGGCGGGTTTAATGGTCAATAAAAAATTATTTTTCGGCTCCAATGGGACTTAATTATGAATTTGGCGGCCGAGAGTGGAATGCGGACGGCAGTTGATTGTAAATCAAAAGATCTGGTTGAGGTGGAGATCAGGATTTTCTGAATGGATCCTAATGCGCCGAGGCGTCTTTACGTGCTGATGATTCAATTAACGCTACAGAAAGCGAAACTTTTTTTTATTTTATTGTCGAACGACCAATACGTAAGACAAAATTTACCAATTCATTAATGAAAAAAATTAATTATTTCATTAAATATGCATAGTTTTAGAGATAATAAAAACCAGATATTTGAATATGTTGTCACAGAATATATTCTAAATAAAAACAGGTTTAGTCCGAGCAAAAAGTTTGACTGATGTCCGTTTTCATGCATGTAAAAATTTAGTTTTCATTATTGCTAAAACTATGCATCTCAGGCCAATTTATGTGAAACTCTAAGTGATAAAAATCAGTTTTGAATTTCAGACATATGCGTCGCTAAATACGCTACGTGTTTTATTCCACATGAATTCCTTGCACGTCTTTCAAATCAACAGGTAAAGACCCATCTATTCAGCCAAGCTCCTGGGCGATTCCCATGGTCGTCATTGATCCACATCGAAAAATTTCCAACACGTCCAATCCACAAAGAAAGTCTGTATTTTTTCAAACTTTCATCCCATTCATGCCTTTGTTTTGCTAGACGCTACTTTTAATATCTTCAATTCTCTCACAAAGCTCGGCATCTCCTCCCGGCCAATTTAATAGGATTAGCTCCCAAGAAAAGCAACGTTGCACGTGTTTATCCAGCGTCCCATTAGGGGCCCCGAATCGGCTACCGCAGAACCTAATCAAACAAATATTTAAAAAAAGCAATAAAGTTCAGCTTGTCAACCCTCAGATCCAATATTTACTTCCTGGCTGCGTCTAAGTAAGATTTATTTGCTTACCGTCCATTGTCTCCCGGCAGCCTTATTTCCCATCGGCTCTTATAAATCACAAATTGAATGCCAACGACAAGTATGATTTAAGCAAAGGTGAATTTATTATAGCGCCACATTTCTTCAAATCAAGTTTGCGAAATAAATTTTCATTACTCGAGATTTATTGAGCCACTCGGAGGCAGTTTTTCCATTTGGTGCGCTGTAGGTTGGTAGCTGTACATCGCGCTCTATATTACTACTCCAGCGTGGGTTAACTCCACAATAGCCAAATCTCGACTAATCTCGAAATTTTCGTACCAACTAGTCGTAATTCAGCCCGCAATCCATCATCGGGCTCCGGTTCTTGATGATGATTATATAAAACCAGAATAGGTCGGCCGTTATGCGGGAAAATGGAGCGTGCAACTGGAGGCCCTTCAGATTTTACCTGTTCGACGAAAAACAAGTTCTGTGGGAACAGATTCCCGTATGGGACGGTGAATAAATAAAGTGGCATCGCGAGGACAAAGCCAGTTTGCGCCCTAACGAAAACGACGATTTTTAACGGACAAAACCGTCAAGGTACGCTCCACCGAGCAGAGTTTTCAGGAAACTGGAAAAAAATCTCGTTATGCTAATGGGGACGTTAGGCGGAATTGGAAGTCGCAAAAAACGTAAGACTGTAACGTACGTGGAGAGGATTTCGGTGTTTTCTCACGAGCACGAACTTTAAAACGAAAAATTTAGGTTACGCGTTTCTTCGACCTTCCGAGAAGCCCGTCTCCCGCCTCCGATAAAAACGTAAACTATTTAAACATTTCGCGAGCTCTGACGGTCCATAAATCAGGCGGATAATGAATGCATCCAGATACGTCCTGAATATATTTAATAACGATCTGATTTGTTGCGTGCGGAATAATTAATAAAGTCGCATGCATTTTAGAACACTTATCATTTTGTCCGTGGCTTCGCGTTTAACTTATGTCCTTGCAGGGTAATTAATTATCGGAGGGGCGGTGGGGCGAGGGCGGCGCGGATTCCCAGTCCTACTTAAAGACAATGATCGATGTTATGTGTACTGTTACGGCGAGAATAACGTAATTCGTTACGGAAAGTGACGTCTGTTTGGCCAGTTGCAGGATGGGCTTAATTACGTATGCGGGGACATGCAGGAGCTAGAAGGACGATTTTCGTGGCCTGAGAGAGTTTCTAATTGAAAAAAACGTAATCTGGACGTGCGTGACTTTTAATTTGTTAGTCGAGTTCATAATTGATAAGTTTTTGGGGGTTCTGCTGTTTATTTACTAAAGTTGCTGCTTTTGCCTGGCACTCTGTGTGTTTGCTCAAACCTGCTAAAACCATCAAGGCGGCTCGGCCCACAAGCGCGCCGCCCTTGATGATAAGCCAACATATGTTTATCGTTAAGCGCACTTAAAATAACTTTTTTTGTTCCAGATTCGCTAACCGCCCTCCCGTGCCAGAACGACTCCGATTGTGATTTTAGTGAAATTCGAAAAAGAACTCCGACTGTTATATTATGAACGAATTTTAACCTTGTTTTTTAGAGAATTTTTATGTACGATAGTTAATTTATTTTTATACCCGTTTAAGACTGTAAAAAGGTTAGGATAATATTGTGATTCGTAATAAGGTGCCTTACTTGCCTTATCGACAAGTCCTCGGCGACATTTCGATTTCGAGAAACTCGTCTCGAGATGAGGCCGCGGTCTTGCCGGCCTTTGTAACTAGAATTAAGGTTAAGAACTTAGTTTAATGATCTCATCCGACTTGTTACTAGACATTTTTGTAAATAAAGCTCTGAAATTTATCTATCTGCGTACAAAGCCCCCCTGGGACGCCCGTGCCACCGTTTCCGACGACTCAATTTAGATCGTTCCCTCTCAATTTCCACCCTTTCATCCTAGGTCCACCCTAAATGTACCGTACAAATTCATTAAATCGTTGAAGGACTCTGCATGTCTCCCTCTCATTCAAAAAAATGAAAAAGTCATCCAATTTCCCCGAAAAAAGGCACCGAGACGACTCTAATTACGTCCACATAAAAGCCGAATTTCTTCGAAAACGTCACGAATTAAAGCGCTAAATTCAGAAAACCCCAACCGTGCTCTTCATAAATAAATTCGCATCTGCCCCTTCAATGCATCGACATATCGGAAAGAGTTGAAAATAAATCACTAACCACCAACCGAGTTTTTGTCAATTCGGTAATTATCGTCCCTCATGCCCGCATGCTTGGACACAGTGTGGGGCAAATCGATCAGGGTGGCCCTCGAGCCGCACCAAAAAATCAAATTTGTACCAGAAGTGGGGCTAATTAGAAATGACGGCCGCTAGACGCTAAAGAAAACAATTAAATAACAAGCACAATTGCAAAAAAAAAATAAGAAATTTTCTTCACTTACACATCGTTGTCGCTACATTCTACGTAAGGAATTGGACTCGCTTTTTGGCGGGAGATTCAAATTAGCGGTCATGCGTGGCGGGAAATTCAAACCCTAATTCTGAGTGGTTGAGGCACAGTACGCAATAACGAAAAATTAGTTCTAGAAAATTCTTACGTTTTTGTGCTCCTCCGTTGTTTACATCGCAAATTGAAAAAAAAAACTGGAAAACCGTCCCCGCTTGTCATTTTCCGCTCCACGCGTCGCGCCGCTCCACCAAACCCGACACGCCTGAGTAGTCGGACATTTAAACTTTTTAAAGAACAGGTGTCCATTTAAATATCTCCCGAACCATAACAACATTAATCGTAAAAGGTCTAAGCACCGAGCTTATTGACAGGACTAGAATCAATTAGACACGAGCTTCATGAAGTTGCGTAACTGCACCCTGGATGCAGTTGCACCCTGATTTATTACGCATTGTACGCACTTCCTCAAACTAAACGTCCCCCGAACCCGAAAAACCAAAAACGACTCAAACTCGCATTCATTTCATCAACTACACCCCCAACGAGCGCCATCCAGGTCCGAAAACACGTGCAGAAATTGCAGTTTTCGGGCACGAAATCGCGGCATTATTTATGTGCAAGCGCGCACAGTCCCCATGGCAGTTACTCGAACAGAATAGAAATCCAGTCAATTGTTGTGCAAATCTGAATTCAACAGTCGCGTGGCACGAAGCGTGTCTGCACGCACCCCCCTCGCCCCTCGCCCTTGAAGGGCCCCACATCCCTACACCAGGTAGCGCGCCGAGAAGGACGCCGAACCCCAACAGCTGAACATCTGGTCGGCTCCCCTGCCCTCTCCACCTTTTTTTGATTTAGCTGGCCCTTCAGGTTCGATCGGCAATGTCAAGGTTAGGTTTGAAAGCGGCGCGATCTCCCGCCAAAATCTGGGTGAAAACCCTAAGACCAAAAAATTTGACTTGTATAGTTTGAAGTGCAAAATCGACTATTGCGTTACACTTGACGAATTCCGCCACCTCCGCCGCCCCTAACGGTTTATGACTAAGCTTTCCCGTGATAATGGCCACCTGTAAAGTCACACACGTGACGTTCCACAGTGCTGCACAGCCACCGCCACGTGTCCGATAATGGCAAAACTTCCGGCCCATTAATTCGTCAATTCCATTTCTTTCACCCGTTTTGGAAAAATTTTCCACAGGCTAATTCCCATAAGTTCCCGGAATAATTCCCGCTTCCGGTCGGTTCCGGTCCAAAGGGAATTTGAATGATATCAGAAGTGTGTCGCCGATCTAATAGGCAAATTAAGTGTTTCCGGTCTATCCGTCAAAACTTTACGGTGGAGAAACACCCTTACGCACAAAACACGTGTGCGGGGTGAAAAAAAGTAGAACGAGTTAGACGAGTCGGGGTAAACGAAAAATTTGTTTTCGTGTTGTCGAGTCGTAAAGTTGGGATTTTAAGTACTCTGGATGTGGTTGTAAAAATGGAATTCCTTCTTAATTTACTCTTGCTAATATCGGCTAATTGGTGCGACCGATTATCTGTCAAAGTCTTAACATACTGCGCTATAAATAAAGACTTAAATCAATTACTTAACTGTAAAAATATCTGGGTGCGGCCCAATTAAAAACCCAATTTTTTAGACGGGTTTATCCCCCGATACAACCCGCCAGTGGCGTAGACCACGGAAAATTAAACAAGGAAAACTGTTCGCTCAAATTCAAGGAACGCATCTTTCAATTTTAAATTAAACTGAAAATGGAATTACATACTTATATTCTGCGAAGGAAGATACAATCACGTTTTATCATTATTTACAGAGCTCATTGAAATTTAATTTAGTACTCGACTTGCATCAAAGAGGCCAGGTGAGGACGATGACATACCGTTTTTATTTTCATTTGAGATTTTCCTAAATTAATTTATAGTAAACCCCCTGAATCGCTCCGACCCCTGCACTGCCCACACAATACGGATTTCCTAGTTCGTATTTCGCTATTGTGCCCTTGACACTCATCCCAGGTCGTGCGATTTGATCGCAGGGGCCCTAAGCCCTCCGACCTAACGGTTTTCTATTATGGGGGCGAATCGCTACAGTACACCATCGAAATCCACCGAAAAAAACTCAAACAAAGTCGGCATGTTTGTACTTTAATTAAACAACCTCTCGTCCTCTTCAGACGTTTTTTGTCACGCTTCCACAAACTCAGACATTGAAATTCGATTGAGCGAACCCAGAAAAAATATAAAAGGATTACTCAAACGTGATTTATTTACACTCGAGCGGGTCTAGTGGCTTTGTTCAAAAACAATCGACGAGCAATTACGATTATCGGGAGTTTGTGGGGGCGCCACTTATCCGGCGAGACGTGTGGCGACATCTGTGCCGCTTGCGTCAAACTTGTAGCCCAGATGTCAACCAAACGTAAATTTTTGTAAAAACTATTTCTAACGATGGAAACGCGTTCTTAACTTGTTGTTTATTTATGGAGTTTACTAAAGTGGGTTGTTGGGGATACGTGTAGGGAAAAAACGTGGAGTAAACGCAGCGTCATTAAAATAATTACAAGCGTGGTCGCTTATTACGGCTTCCTTTGCGTGAATCTGCCAAGAAATTCGGTAGTTTAATGAAAAGTGGAGGTTTTAATTGTTTTTTGTTTCGGTAATGGATTAAATTGGGGGTCGATGGACCAAGTTGTGCTGGTTTTACAGCGACGTGTTAGAAATAATTGCTGCTTTAAAATTTAATCACCACTACAACCCTTCTGTTTTATAATAAATGATCCATACCACGGAGTGTTCAATTATTGAAATATAAATTCTTAGACATCGGTAAGTTTTGATAACATGGTGTAAAACGAAAATGATAGTCGCAGCACCTAAAAATTACAACTGAATCATGAATAATTGCGAAGATCACGTTACCCCAATGAAAGTTTGAAAGTCTAAAGTCCTCACTCCCATGGCTGAAATTTTTACGTCAATTTGGGCCCTCTGCATCACGAATAGCATGTCTTTTTTAATTCTAACGTCGTCTATGTTGTACCATTCGCTAGCAAAAATCTCGCTCGGGAATTTATTAGCCTGAAAATTAAGTCTAGTGGCAAAAATAACACGAAAACTGTTACATTTACGTGATCGATTACTTCATTACCCAAAGTACAAAACAAAAACAACTGTAGTAAGTGTCCAAACAAGTACGAAGAAACTGCCGTAAAAAGAGCGACGTCGACCTCCGCCTAAAACGAAGCATCTTACAGTTAATAACACAAATAAAGCTGACTCGTCCTACAAAAGTCATAATTAAAGCCGCCATACACAGCGCCATCACACTCGAAAAAAGCTGTATAAAACAACTAAAACTGAAAATAGTGGCCACTTCTTCGCACACGTGAGTTAAAACCACGTGATGCCGGATACACAACCTCAGCAATTTCGAGTTTTCGTCATCAACATGCGTTGTTTTCGTCAACTCAATTCTCCGGTTGACTTCGGCCACTTGTTTTGTCCCCAAATTTCCAACAACGCTCTTCAACAAAATGTATTGACCAACAATATTGCTACAAATCCCCACGAACAAATAATCGTGGCCACAAATCCCCACCACGATGAAAGCAATATTCGTCATCCATTCCACCACGTAGATAATCTCGTACAAAGGGCTCCGGTTCCACTCGAAGGGGTAAATCGCTTCGAACGGCAAAACTCTACTACCGGAACGCAGAGGCGAACTCAAAAACCCGAAAGCAAACAAAACGCCACTGATGAACATGGTGATAGCGGCGCTGATGATGATTTTGTTGTACAGTTGCAACTGAGAGGCGATTTTGGCACCCCCGACTTCGGCGGGCCAAAATTCGTGCCAGATTAGACGCAAGACGTTTTTTAATTTGTGGCTGTAGAAATACAAAACTGACATTTTGGTGATGGCCTGCAAACAACGTTTTTCTTTATTTTTTTTTTTTAAACAAGAATTACTTACTAGTTACCTGAAAAGTGGTGGACACTGTGGACATCGCGGACGCTATTTTTGTGATGTCGTCAAAATTGACGACGACGAAGGCAATTTGGCCACTTTCGATGAAAACACATATCAATAGCATTAGCCAGTTTGTTGCTTTGGTCAAGAAGTTGCGTTTCTCGGGCCAGAAATTCGTGGACTCGAGGAGCAGTTTGGGGATGAAAAGGGCCCTTTTTACGGGGTCTTTGAGGGGGAAGATGTCGCCGGTCTTAGGCATTGTGATGTAGCGGGACTGTGTGAAAGGGTTTATATAAGATTCAGTGGGAAGTTAATAAGGAATTGAAGGGGTGGTTTGAGCGAAGTTGAAAAGTTAATTCTTGGGCGTAAATAAATAATGATACAAGATATGATGTGGGTGAGTACTAACTTATTTAAACTGATGATTGCAGCTTTTAACAACTTATTATAGTTTGATTTGTTTCATTTACTTTTTCAACTTTGTAAAATGTGGTGGAAGGTTATTTAGACAGAACTTCCATCGCCTTTAGTTAAATTTCGAAAATTGTCGAAAATGGGTCGAAATTCACATAAGACAAAAAATTTTTGAAGAAATAGTCTAAAAATTCTGAAAAAATTCAGGGTTACACATAGATCTTGACGTGCTGATTCCAAAAATACCGGGAGTCCGAAAAATGGTAGATTAACTCTCCGCTATTCTGTTGACAATAAATTGGTGAGTATGGGAAAATAGTAAAAAAATCCTTTTTAGTGGAGTTACAATGATTTTAAAATTTGTTCTTCTCTAAGTCATTTGCTAACACCAGTCTTATCTTAGCAGGGACTAGCCCCACCCGCCCACCCACTCTTTTCTTGAAAGGTATGTGATTTGCCAAAATCGGTCTTATTTTAACAGGTATACTAACCCCGCCCACCCACCCTCTATTTTCTTAGTGGATAGGTGATCTGCTAAAATTGATCTTATTTTAGCAGGTAAAATCAGAGTCATATTAGCTGGTACTTGCCCCGCCCACCTACTGTCTCTCGTGGGCAGGGTTAGTAGTTGCTAATATAAAACTGATTTTGGCAAATGACATCTTCTCGAAGACAAGAGGGGTTGGGTGGGCGGGGCTAGTAGCTTCCAAGGTAAGACTGATTTTGGAAAATGACCTACTCTCCAAGAAAATAAAGGGGCTAGTAGTTCCTCACATAAAACTGATTTTGGCAAATGAAATATCCTCTAAGAAAGGAGAGGGTGGGTGGGCGGGGCTATTAGTTTCCAAGATAAGACTGACTTTGTCAAATGATATATATTCTAAGCAAGTAAGGGGTGGGTGGGCGGGGCCAGTAGTTTCCAAGATAAGACTGACTTTGGCAAATGATATTTCTTCTAAGAAAATATACAGCGGGTGGACGGGGCTAGTAGTTTCCAAGATAAAACTGACTTTGGCAAATGATATATCCTCTAAGAAAAGAGGGGGCCGGTGGGCGGGGCTAATAGCTTCCAAGATAAAACTGACTTTGGCAAATGAGATACCCTCTAAGAAAATATACAGCGGGTGGACGGGGTTAATACTTGCTAAGATAAAACTGATTTTGGCAAATGATATATCCTCTAAAAAAGAGGGGGTGGGTGGGCGGGGCTAGTAGTTTCCAAGATAAAACTGACTTTGGCAAATGATATATCCTATAAGAAAAGAGGGGGTGGGTGGGCGGGGCTAGTAATTTCCAAGATAAGACTGACTTTGGCAAATGATATGTCCTTTAAGAAAAGAGGGGGTGGGTGGGCGGGGCTAGTAATTGCCAAGATAAGACTGACTTTAGCAAATGATATATCCTTTAAGAAAAGAGGGGTGGGTGGGCGGGGCTAGTAGTTCCCAAGATAAGACTGACTTTGGTCAATGATATATCCTCCAACAAAAGAGGGGGTGGGCGGGCGCGGCTAGTAGCTTCCAAGATAAGCCTGATTTTGGCAAATGAGATATCCTCTAATAAAAATAAACAGCGGGTGGACGGGGCTAGATATGGTTGTGTTGTTTTTCCAGTTGACAACAATGTTTGCCTGATATAAAGCAAAGGTACAAATCCGCAAAAATCGAGTAAGCAGTTAAAAATGTTTGACGTATCAAAAATTGTCAAAATTTTGAAAACCCTACGTTCAAAATCTTCGCGGTTGATTTTAGGTCCCCTGGTGTTTTATTTTCGGATAAATTTAAAGGGATTTGGTGTTTTCTTGCTGGATTAACATGAAAAAATTTTTTGAGCTTTGTTTTATTTTTTACGAATTTGAAAATTTGAAAAAGTACCGCAGTGTTTTATTTTTTAATTCGGGAAAATCCTGGGCACTCATGGTGTATCTTTTTGGGAGATCATGGAGATTTTATTTGAAGACTATTTAAAACAATTTTGGCGGTCTTTGGTTTTCTATTTTTGGAAAATTCAGACCTACCCGTTTTTGAGTTAATGTTGGGACCCCGTTTTTTTTTTGAAAAATTTAAAACAATCTTGAGGTTCTAGGTATTCCTGTTTGGAAAGAATTTGAAAGTGCTTTGGAACCTCTAGTGTCTTTTCTTATAATAATTTAATTAAATTTCTTAGAGGATACGTCATTTGCTAAAATCAATCTTATCTTACCAGGTACTAGCCCCACCCGCCCACCCATTCTTTTCTTGAAAGGTATGTGATTTGCCAACATCGATCTTATTTTAGCAGGTATTAACCCCGCCCGCCCACCCTCTCTTTTCTTAGAGCGTATGTCATTCGCCAAAATCAGGCCTATGTTAGCAGGTGCTAGCCCCGCCCACCCACCCTCTTTTTCTTAGAGGGTACCTGATTTGCCAAAATCAGTCTCATCTTAGCAGCTATTAGCCTCCCCGAACAAATCGCTAATCCGAACACACCTTTTCCCCAATTAGTTCGAATTATCGGGGTTTTACCGTAATTCAAGAATCACACACAATTTTAAAAGTCAGAAAGATAAAACAATAAAACAAAATTTGGGAAAAATTATAAAACATAATAAAGCAATAAACCTATAAATCGGCCCCTGAACGACCCCTTCGAAAGTGAGCTTTTGTAGAATGAAGCTTTTTAAGGTAGAATCCTGCTTTCGCCCAACTGAGTGTTTAGTAACTGTAAGCGTTCACTACACTTTTTACTAGGTGGCGCTTCATTCACAAATTTTTAAAGTAATATAAGAATCAAGTAAAATAAACGTCCTAAGCGTGAAGTTCAGCAAAAGTTGACAACCTTAAAACGTACCTATTTTATTTATAAGCAAAAATTTTAATAAATAACGCAGTGTAGAGACCTTGCCACATCAAATTTGTTTAAGAAAATGGCCGCCAGAGGGCGCCGTCACTCCAAAGCGTCTTAAAAGCGTCATCAATCCCACGCACACTACTAAAAACATAAATTTCTTCATGAGCAGCATAAATTAAAAGATTTATGATTAATCGATGCGAACAAGCACAGGAACTAGTTGGAGCTTTCGCGATTTTTGTTCTCTCCAAGGATTTAGACGCCGCTTGTAATTTATTTATAATGAATTAATTATCGCGAATCGTCCGGGGAAAACCGTCCTAGTGCTCCACACTAGATGCATTTTCTATGTCGAGCATAAATTTTTTATTTATTTTCTACTTATCTATAACCATAATAGATAATTTATTAGTCGTAAATTAAAAGCGTCCACAAAATCTGCACTAAACAGTTAAATAAATAATAGAATCGATAAATGCTGCATCCAGTTAGAGCAAACGGGGCTAATATAAAAACTTCCGAACCCAAGTCGTGCATAAATTATAACATTTCCCTCAGCGCGACTATTACCATCATTAAATCCGACTTACTCCATATTTTACTCAGGTTTTATTAAATTCCTTTACGGTTTATGCGTTGTTGTTTCGTAACTTTGCTCACCGATTTCAGTCATTCGCGCCGTCTGAAACGGAAGTTAGACGAGCAAGTAGCGACGATAACTCCCATTCTTGTACTTCCTTGAAATTATGTTTTGTGCGGAAACTTTAATTCGTCGAGGATTTCCACCTCGGTATACGCAAATCGGGGCAGTCGATTATTAAATTACCCGTTTTTATTAACGCCTCAGGTGAGTTTCTGGAACGGACACTTCGTTAAATGCGTTAATACGATTCAAACTCAAACAGCATCATAATTACTACAATGTCCGGAAGCACAAAGTGTTTTTTTTGTTTATGGTGCAGGAAAATGGCCTCGATTTTAATTACCGATCGAACGGAGGAATCCTTCAGGATATTATCTAAAATTTCATTCCAACTGGAAGAAAATTATGTTCGAGAAAGGCATTATTGGAAATAGGAAATCTATGGAGGGGGAGTTCGGGACGACGAGCGGTCGTTAAATAATCTAATTTTGGCAGTTTTAATGTTATTGAGACATAAACGGAATTCTGAGTATTTTTGCATTGAAAGAAATAATTAGGAGGGTAATCGAATCAGAACGAACGGAATTGTAATCCGGATTTAGGTTGTAACACAACGAGATTTGCGATTATCGCGACAACTCGAGTCGAATTTAATTAATTGTCGCTAATTAATCATCACGTTCGTACCACTTTTAATTTTGATAAAGTGATTCGTTTCAGCAGGGTGCGACGACACGCTGAATTGAAAAATGACTCAAGTCAACAAATCTATTTAAATTTATCGAGCTTATCAGACGACGATGAGACATAATCTACGATTTTTTAATGCGTTGTAAATTTTATTTCATGCGGGATATTTTATTAGAGTTGCAGTTTGAGGTTTTAGAATGCAATAAATTTTGATTGCATTATTTTTATACTATTATTGTGTTGGCTAGTTTTTTCCTGCTCTAACCAAATATCCCGACTCGGCTACAAGTCTTTATCGTGATCGGTTTGGTGAAACGCCAAACAGACGCAGAAAAAATTTCCTGCGTTAAAATTTGAACACATTTCCGAAAGTTCCCACTTTTTCTGTTTTTCCGGGCCATCGATCTATCGCGGCAAAAAGCACCGCCACCCCAATTTCCTGCACCGGTAATGACACCAACTTAAATCTTAAATAATTTAAGTACGATATCGACCGGCACATGTTGCGCTCAAGATTAATTTGCATGTGTAATTTGAGGTCTGACCTGAATAAATAATCAGCAATATGTATATGCAAGCAGGAATATCATTACCGAAGCGAGACTTTTTACCGAATGTTATTCGGAGGGTGAAACGGCGCCTAATATTTTCGATAATTATGAATAATGTAGTCGCGTAGTCTGCAAGATGCGTGTGTTATGTTTTTTACCTGAGCAGGCGCTCTCCATATAATTACAAATACAGGCACTTTGTGGAATTCCACGCACTGACGCTCTTCATTCCAGCATCCATCCTGATCCATCCAGTCGGCAACGGGCGTCGCGACGGGTGATACTTCCATTTAGGTGCAAATTTCGGCGGCGCACGTGGCGTACAGGACAACACCGACAGGTAGGTCCTTGTGATACTAGACGTTTTTACTTTGCGCCTTTTTGATTTTTCGCGAAAATACGACTCGGACTAGAAAGTTCGGCTTTTAGCGGTAATGAGATTAAATAGTCGTGGGGTTAGAGGGGCTTGCGTTTCTTTTAAAATAATCAATCATGTCGTATGACCGGTGACTGATGATGGGTTTTATTCTCTAATGGAAAATGGACTGTCGGGGAAAAATAGAAATTAAGTACCTGGGGAGGGTGTTTTATTGCGGTTATAAATGGGTCCTTTCGGTTCCTTTAAAAATGTTTTCTCGAAACGAAAGTCGTAAAAATAAAGATGTACAATGAATTTTAATGCAAAAATTTTAGGTTTTCCGGCGTTTTTTAAGTGGTGCTTGGATCAAGTTAATGAACTTTCTAAAACGTTTTAATTTTTTTCGCACTTTACGCACTTTTATTAGTAAATTTATTTCGATTTTTTATAGTTGGAACTATTTAGATTATTTTATTTATATTATAAATTGCTGAAACATTATTTGATGAAGCATGTTACAAAATTATTAAATATTATCGGACGCTTTTTTAAAAATGTGTACACCAAAATATCACTCTACAATTTAATTTAGTCTAAAAATGCAATACGTAAGCGGCGTGGAGTTCTTAAAAAATTATTCTCAGAAAACCTTTGGCTGACACTAAAAATTCAGAGCTCCTGGCAGCACTTTTATTTTTCATTATGTGCTTATAAAACTTGAGAAAGTTGAATTATCTAACCCAGTTTATATTTTTATGACACATCGATTTTTTAAAGTTACGTTTTTTTTAATTTACCCATCCATTGCAACTTTTAATTATTTTCAACTCGTCGCTGTCACAGAAATACACAGATATCGCATTTCATCATTTACAAGCTTTAATTAAATATGCTATCACACGCCAATTTGCTAATTTTAAATAATCACGCAATAAACTAAAAATGAATCAATACAGCTATTTACGAGCTCTGAACATTTCACTAATGCTAGATTTAGTTTATTAAAATTTTACATGTTAAACGTTTTAAAAGCGAGCTGAAAACTTCGGAACATATTTGATTAAATTGACAAAAAGAGAAAAACTAGAATTAAGTACAACAAGAGATGAAATTAAAACGTCTTGGGAAACTTCGTTTACTGAAGCCTCCATACTTACTAACTTTTCAAAACTTCGCCTAGCTAATGCTACGTACGATAATTTCATTCCTATCATTAAAGTTTTGGAAGCCAAAAAATGACTTGCACTATCTTTCCGGTTCCCTACATCCCTTCATTACAGAAATCATTTCATTTATGCTCCACTAACCTCAGATAACTCAATCACACACCACTGAACAAAAATCTGCTACACTGAAGCGCTAATTAAGCCCTTTCAGCCCTTAAATCTGGATTGAAACAGCCAATGCGATTAAGACTGGACACGGCTTTCAGCAGTTTCTCCTAATCTTGAGGGTTTGTGTTTATCTTGAGACCAAAGCACTAGTATCTACCATCTTGAAGCTGGAGAGGGTGACTATTGTCGTATCAAAATACGAGCTACATGCATACGACATATCAGTCGGGACTCGACTTTGTAGTTCTTTTTTTGGGTTAAAATTATATTAAACGTATGAGAAGTTTTAGGCGAAGTTTGAGCGTCGTGTCTGAACCCGGAGCGCGAAGTTTATAACGCAGAATTGTGACACAAATATGCGAAATCAATGTCTACACATCGAATATGAAAGTTGGTGTTTTTGCGGGATCTTTGATGTCCTTTCGATCTCGTATTACTAAGAGATGGAATATATTCTCGTAAAGTACGAGTATATCGTGAATAAGGCACACCACTCCTGTCGGTTAAGTTGACAGAATCAATTTCAGTCTTCTCGAGTTAATGTTCTGTTAAATGCATTGTCAATACTGTCTATTAATAGAAAATAATGAAAGTGTGTTAAAATGTAATCGCGACGGATGAAGAGGGTGTAGTAGTCGTAACCTAGTTCAGGTTATGATTATGAATTACATCGAAACACAAACCGTCTACCGAACAAGGTCGAATTTAGCATTCATTATTCACTAGTCGGTGTCTACAACCCAGCTTTTTTGAACATAGTCACTGTAATCGACTTTCGTCGTGCTTTAGCTCTCTAATCTAGCTTTTACGCCAGAGCCGTACCGTAAAATTCCACTCAACTTGCTTCAGTAAGTCTGGTTATGACCATAAACGCAACCTATCGATTTTATAATTTCCACTCGAAAACCATTCACTTTTTCTATATAAATGTAGATAATCCGCCTGAAGTGTGCACTTTTACGTTACGAACAGATTGGTCGAGTTTATTCGTTTCAGATTTAACGATAGTCGCAAAAAAATCTATTTTCTCGTCCAGACAGGACTCAAATATTAATTAAAGCGCTACAGTCAATCGAAACTTGGATTTAAGTTTTAGTTTGTTTAAGAAAATTACTGTCACGCTAATTAGTGAGAAAAATGTCGAGAAGTTTTGATAAACTGGGAGGCGATCGGCGATGATTTGAGTGTCTAGACTTAATTTCAGCTTGTTTGTGTTGAAAGAAAATTCCTGCGATTGTTAGAGTTAATTTTCTAGAGTCTTAACGAAGGCGCTTGCAAAAAGTGACAACTACAAATCTTTAATGCAGTGGATAAAAATACCTGCTGGAAATCGATGCACTTAAATTCAAAAACGTCAAAATTTCATTTTTTTTTTCCCGACTGAATAATTCGAATTAACTTATTCCGGCAATAAAACTAGCCGTAATCCGATTCCCCCGAAACTTCCTCTCAAGATCATTTGTTTGGCGCAAACACGCCTAAAATAAATATTTACTGCCAAAAATTAATCCACTCTCGAAGCTCGCACCCATTGCAAATCCCGTAAATACCATTTTGCATGAACCTTTCCACAATCCCGCCTAAAATCCGCGATCCCTCCACCAAATAAAGAATAATCGCATAGTCGTGAGTTTATTTCCCCACTCGAAAATTCAGCAAATAGACAACCGCCGGATCGTCATACGAAGCTCGCTCTCAGCCAACATGAAATTTTATGAGTTAATTACGCCATTAGACAAGGTGTACGCACTAGCGTTCCACAGGGACAAACTTCTGCGCCCAACCCCTACAGCTTGTTACAAACCACATCCCTTTACTATTTATATAACGTTCTCTAATCAATTTTGCTCTGCATAGCGGAATGAAGCGACGCTTTCCCTTCAGCTTTTTCTGGCTCGTGTGGCGCTTTATAACTCACTTTTATGGGGGAATTTTTCTTCGAGGGGACACCGTATGTGGGATTGATTCGGGCCGCTTACACAACGGGAAGTTCTAAAAATTAAATTACAGATTCACTGTTCATGTTCATGTTTATGTTAATCGAAAGTCGCGCAATTAGCAGTTAATGATTTGATCAAGCAGCAGCCGATTTCCACGGTACAGATAAGCTTTACGACGTCGTTTCGTTGTTTCGCGAATCGGCCTATACAAAATATTCTTGAGGATGTAATCAACTCGAGCGAGAGGGGAAAAGTTTCGCTAAAAAACTTCTAATTTGACGTTGAACATAAAACGCGTATTTACCTAAATGGGGTAGCTGGAGATAATGTTACAATTAAACGTCTTTCTCTAAAAACGGAAAGGAGACCGGTTGACGAACAAACAGCCGTTTGTAGGTTTCTTGCCTCGAAACAGTTTTTTGTTAGTTTTAAAAAACGCAGGTCGATGCTTGCTCGCTTTATACTGCATCGGGAAAAATTTTTTCCTGTTATTAAATAATACGAAGCTAATAGGGAAAGTCTCTCAAAAACAATTTTTGTTTTATTTTCGCCGCTACTACTACGTCCGAGTTAATTAAAAGGAAACGTGGTAAACATGAAAGGAGTGAAACAATCGAGGAAATAAAAATTATAACGGCGGAGTTAATTTTAGCTCGGGACGTAATTTGCTGGAAATTATGTAGGATGAGATTTTCGTTGTTATTCGAAGAATTTTTCTCGGATAAAAATGTATGTTTTGTCAACGGAGGCGGCGAGATGGAATAGACAGCTTATTATTGTGTTCTGTGGGACTGGTTTGTTGATTTTGTAATTGTAACAACACACATTTCAAACTTATTTAGCCAAAACATTTTGTTTCCTTAAAATAATACAAATATTTTTTTCGACGATAAATAAAATATTTCGGTGTAGTTAAAAGCACCAAGAACTCGAAAAGCGCCCCTTATTTGCACAACTCTCGCCCTCATCGATGCTGTCAATTACACTAACAACCTCAAACACACGACAAGCCTGAAACTTTCTAATTTTTGTTAATCTGAAATTTTCAAATTAATTTAACTTTGATTTTCTTTGAAAGGGGTGAGATTCGCCGACTCCGTAACCTGATTTAGAAAAAACTGACAGACGAAAAAATTATTATATTTTTATGACATGTCGAAATACGTTTTCGTCCTGAATATTAACAGAATTTATGAAAGCTATTTGCATTTCGACCCTCGCAAAGGCAGACTTAAGAACTGCCTTTTATAATATAGGATGCAAAGAGCTCTGTTTTCGCGAAATTGCCTTCGGCAGTGAGCATGAAAAGGGAATATTATGATAGTCCAATCGTTTCCGCTTTTATTAAGAAAAAATCTGAAATTATGTTTATGAACATTAGATGTATATCAAAGTGTGTTTGCTGGAGGAAGGAATGCGACGCAAATTTTTTCTTTCAGGCTTCTTCAGCGAAATTATTATTTGCGAGAGTCGTTTACTAAATTCTCAACAAAACGTGTAAAAATGTTGCTGTGTTAGCGGCCGAAGGTAAAAACTACACTCAAACCAAAAAACCAAAACGTGAGTGAAGTTTTAAACTTGACAGCGCAATAAGAATTTATGGCTTATATTCAAAGCAAAACTTGTTCTAGTGCAAATGGCCTCCCACGGGAATCGCGTTCATTTGGTCTCCTCTGTCTGTTCGGATGTGTTTTACCACGCACATAAACAACCCTTTCTCTCCAACTCCCCGAAACAAAAACTAAATCCCGCAAACACTTAGTGTCCGGAAAATCTCGATTATTTTATTTCCGCCAGACGCACTTAAAAAAACTTAATCCCCTAAGCAGTTTAATGCATCTCCAGTGCACGTAATTCTCATAAAATCTGTTCTCTTTTAGAACCTGTTTGCGAATGTATGATGGAACATGGATCCCAATAAAAACGACGTCGTTTACGCCCGTCAGGAGGACATTCTTCGCATCCTCAGCCGACTTAACGAAACCCAAGCAGAACTTGCCTGCGAGCTTAAAAAAACACTCACACCGTCCTCGAATGGATGTCCTGTCGATTTCGATACGGTTTTATGTTGGCCACAAACGCCGCCCAATTCTCTCGCCGTTCTTCCTTGCTTTGAACAACTTAATGGGATCAAGTACGACACGAAAGGTGAGTCGAACTAGTGTACCAAAAATTGGCAACCCGGCGCATCCACCAATTTTTGACCGGTGCATTTTTGAAACCCTGAATGCGCAAGCAATTCTCATTCGAACCACGTCGATCTCACTTATCCCCTGACCAATTTAACTTTACCACAATAACGGAATCGCGTTGCACAACCGTCAAAACAATTATTTATAAAAGAAGTTTTTTGGGGCAAGAAAAAGCGAACCGAAAGCACACGCCCGAAAAATTTTCATTAGCACTCGCATGAGGCGCTACGAATTTTCAAACACACGGCTGGAACAAAGCGCTCTAAAAATAAGCTCGGTATTGATAAAGCGAAAGAGCGTATTTTTTAATGGACGATTGATAGATACGATGAGGGAGACATTGCTGGGAAACATAAAATTTAGTGCGGAGAGAGCGTACGATAATACTTTTCATTAGGATTTCACTATAAGAGCGCCAATTAAAAGGGGGACTTTATTGTGATTAGTTGAATTGTGGGTTTATTGGCAATCAAAAGTTATGAACTTTTGCGGGGCGTAATTGATCGGTGTAACGCAGAGTTTCAGACGATGATAATTACGGGATTAATGGCGGTGTGCTGTCCTTTATAACGATGTTTTAATGCTGGATATTCGACTGGCAATTAGGAGGAGGATTTGATGGCGGCGCTGTTTGCTGCAGAGGCGTCTGATGCACATGAAAGGACAAAGTGCACCGGCTGTTCGCTGTTCCTGTTTTTAACCTCTCGACAAATACGCCTTACTCTGGCACGAAATTTAAACGCAAAATAAATGAGCATTTTTACTCGCTCGAGATAACGTCAATCTTTTTATCAAATTTATAATCTGTAATCTTTGAAGAATAACAAGCCAAAAATACATCATGTTTACAAAATTTTCCCGCGACCAAACTGCTATCTCAACACACTTGAATAATTACAAGTGCGTTGCAGAAATGAAGCTTTGTTTGTATAAGCTCAGATGGCGAGCTTTAAAAATGCCAAGAAAACTCCCGTTTAAAATAACAGAACAGTGTTATGGGTCTTTCCAAATTAAGTGTAAGGTTAAACATTCTAAATATTTCTGTCACGTTTCCCTTTCTAATTATTATTTGTTAATTGTCTGAAAAGGTATAACACAACAAAATTTGGAAATAATAAAAAACAGTTAGTCCGACTTGCAACGAAGAGTTTGATTTTCCCAAAATAACATAACAAAAACTGGTGTCAGAAGTGGGATATCACAAACGTTATAATCCAAAGAGCTGTTGAACATTGATTTATCTGGGAAGATTTCAAAAAACTTCCATTATCAAAAAAGGATCAAAATTTATACCAGATTGGATTCGTGAACTGGTCCATTGGGAAAGTTCGTCCACAGAACTAAAGAAAAATCATCCCGTGTTCAAGATCATCAAGGACTGTCGAACTGTAAGCAGAACGATTTTTTTTCGACTTTACTTTGTACTTGGTTATTACTTATTAGAACCGTCCTGGTATTCATTCCAATCCTTATTTTCTAATTATTGTTTGCTGTATTAATCACAATCAAAATGACAGAAAATGAAAATACTAATGCCTCAAATACTCCCATTCAACTAAATTTCATATGCTCACTAATTCCGAAACCATTTAGTGGTAACCGCATTGAGCTAAATGAATTCTTAAATAACTGTGAGTTAGCTTTCAAATTCGGTAATGAATTCCAACAGTCACTTATATTGGAATCTATAATAACCAGATTGACGGATAGTGTTAGATCTCAGTTACACGGTAAAGAAATGTCTTCATGGGCAGATTTAAGGAACTTATTAATTCAATATTATTCCGATAAAAAACATTACACTCAGTTAATGCAAGAATTAAATACCATTAAACAAAATAACAATGAACCTGGATGTCATTTTATGAACGACTAGATCGTATCAGTTCTAGAATTTTAAATATTTTGTCAATTAATAATGATTCAAATAATCAAGAACTTGCTGGAAAGTTAAGTACAATTAAAGAACTAGTTTTACAGCGCTTTGTTTTTTACACGATTAATGATATATCCAAATATCTAAGAAGTCGAAAACCTGAAAATATTGAAGACGCGCTTTCGGAAGCTCTAGAAGAGGAACGTGCTCTTTCTCTTTCAAAATTTACGATTTCACATGCTAACAAAACTTATAGTTTTTGTAATTTTTGTAAGAAATCAGGTCATAATATAAAAAACTGTCGGAATAAAATCAACAAATCTAATCAAAGAGTACATTTCAATGCGACATATCAAACAAAATTTTGTAATTATTGCAAAAAAAAAAGGTCATTTAATACATGAATGTTGGAAACGGAACAATCATTTAAAGAAAAATTCAAACGATGTCAATAAATTATTACCCGAAGTTTCACCCGAAATTCAACCGTGTTCAACAAATTCCGTACATTTAAACTTGAAACCGTCTCACAAAAACGCCGTTTCTGTAAATACCCAAATCAGCGATTTAAAACCTTTTAGTTCATGTCAGTCTTCCATAAATTGTAAGAATATTCAAGTTTTAAATACTCAAACATTTGGTGCCAGCTCTGTGCTGTTTACCAATAATAATAATGCTTACATTAAGTTAAAATACAAAGACAGAGAATATAAATTCTTATTAGATACTGGTGCGAATGTCTCCTTAATATAACATTCAAAAATTATAGGCACTAATACCTTTTGCGATCCATCAGAAAAAATAATTTTGTCGGGTCTTGGTATTTCCCCTGTTCATACTGCCGCCAGTATGACATTTGATGGTGAGATCTATGGCCATAAAGTTCCGATTAAAATTCACATCGTTAAACAAGATTGTAACATTCCTTTCTATGGACTAATCGGAAATAATTTCCTGCAACCTCAAAATGCCCAAATCGATTACAAAAATTGTAGTCTCAAAATTGATTCTCTTCCATTTAATATCCCAATTTTTTTAAATTGCAATCCTAATAAGAACGAATCTTATATTTTAAAAGCAAGAACTGAAGCAGTAATTGAAGTAAACATAATAAGCGACAATCTTAACGAGGGCATTATTAAGGAAACTCCCATTATAGATGGTGTGTATTTGGCTAAGTCTATCGTTAAAGTAAATAATCAGAAAGCAATTACTACAATAATTAACACTTTAGAGAGAGACGTTAGAATCAATCATATTAATGTAGAGTTGGAAGAATTCGATGAAAACAAATCTAATATATTTCTAGTAAATGAAAATTCTATAAATTTATCTGAAAGGGTTAATAATTTGAAGAAAAATTTAAGATTAGATCATTTAAATAAAGAAGAAAAGGAATCAGTACTAAAAATTTGTAACTAATTCAATGCTATATTTTATCTAGATTGAGACACATTAACTAACACCGATGTAGTCGAACATAAGACCCACACCAATTCGTTCTAAAATGTATAGATATCCAGTCTCATTTAATGATGCAGTTAACAAACAAATAAAAACGTGGCTCAAACAAGGCATCATTCGTCATTCTGCTTCGCCTTACAATAGCCCACTTTGGATTGTTCCAAAGAAAATAGATGCCTCTGGCGAAAGAAAATTTAGGGTAGTAACCGACTACAGAATGCTAAACGCTGTTACGGTGGGCGATGCTTATCCCTTGCCTAGTATTAATAAAATTTTAGATGGTTTAGGTCACTCTAAATACTTTTCTGTTCTTGACCTAGCCTCTGGTTTTAATCAAATTAAAAAGGATATTAAAAGACAGCATTTTCAATTCCAAATGGTCATTATTAGTATACACGTATGCCCTTTGGTTTAAAAACAGCTCCTAGTACTTTTCGACGTATGATTAATACGGTATTAATGGGTTTAACGGGCTTTCAGTGTTTTGCTTATATGGATGACACTGTTGTTTATGCAAATTCTATCAATGATCATAACGAAAAATTAAAATCGATATTCAGTCGTCTGAAGATTAAATAATCTACTTTTACAACCTGATAAGTGTGAATTTATGAGGAAAGAAGTTACTTATTTAGGTCATGTTATTAGTGATTAAGGCGTTTCTCCAAATCCAGAGAAAATCAAAGCCGTAATTGAGTATCCTGTTCCAAAAAACGCTAAACAAATCAAACAGTTTTTGGGATTAATTGGTTATTATAAAAGTGTTATCAAAAATTTGTCTAAAATAGCTAAACCTCTAACTTCTTTGTTAAAGAAAGAAGTCCCATTCATATGGGGACATGATCAACAAATAGCCTTCAGTAAGTTTAAAGAAATTTTAACAAGTCAACCAATCCTACAATATCCAGATTTTAAACAAAATTTCATTTTAACATGCGACGCTTCTCAGTACGCTGTAGGTTGCGTACTTTTTCAAGGTCCAATAGGTAAAGATCTCCCTATTGCTTATGCATCTAAAACACTTAATAAGTCTGAAATCAATTACTCTACTACAGAGAAAGAGTTGTTAGCGATAGTTTGGGCTGTACGATACTTCAGACATTACCTTTATGGAAACAAATTTACAATTGTAACTGATCATCGTCCATTAACATGGTTATTCAATTACAAAGACCCTAGTTCTCGTTTAGTGAGATGGAGACTAAAATTAGAAGAATACAATTATAAAATACAATATAAACCGGGAAAAATTAATTCTAACGCAGATGCATTATCAAGAAACCCCGTTCTTTTAAACAATAAATCTGAAAAGACATACAACAACTTTATTGAATTCCATTATAGAAACAATGACTTAATTGAATTCGACATTATCAAAGAAAACATATTTAAAAAATCTCCAAATGTTTTGCTTTTTTCCAAAGATTTAGATGAAAACAACTTATTCTTCCAAAACATAAACTCATTATATGATATTGACGCGATTTCAGGATCAGATCTAGATTTAAATAATTGCATCCACCTAAGAAATTCTCAGAAACAACAAACACTCCTTCTTATCACTCACTTAAACTATTCTGATAAAGTTACATATAAAAATTTGTTTTATGCATTGC